CACACAAATAAATAAATCTTTAAAAAGAAAAGCCAGCAGGAAGTAAAAAGGAGTCCTTCTCTCACAAGTCAAGAAGGCAGTGAAGGTGTCCAATATATCATCATCCTGGAGCCAAGTCTTCTATTTCCCAAAACAAATGGGTGTTAACAAAGGGCATATGATAAATTAGGGTCACTGATGCCAAGAAAACTACTGGCCTAAGTGCAACCTCTCAGATACTGCTGAGAGAAGAGAAGACAGGTCCTCCTTCCACGGCAACTACGGTAGTCATGAGAGAACAGGGAGAGCAATGGAAAGGCCCACAAAGCACTTTAATCAGGAGATTAACATAAATGTGTGTCTATCTACAAATGTGTACAACTTCAAAAAATGTTTTCTGTGACCAGTCACTGGAGGTCTTAAGGACAAAGCTCGTAAAAACTCTTAAGTACTAGATGGGGCTAGGAGAAGGCTCAGCAGTTAGAAGCACTGGCTGCCCTTACAGAGGACACAAGTTCGGTTCCCAGCACCCACAATGGTGGCTCACAATGATCTGCAACTCCAGTTCCAGGGGACCCAACCCCCTCTTCTAGACTCCATGGGCACCTGGACTCATGGGGTTGTACATACAGTCACTCAGGCCCACACACATACTGTAAAATAAAAATAATAAAATAAAACTTTTTTTTTTTTTTTTGGTCTTTTCAAAACAGGGCCTCCCTGTAGCCCTACCCGTCCTGGATTCCCTATAGAGACCAGGCTGGCCTTGAACTCACAGAGATCCACCTGCCTCTGCCTCCTGAGTGCTGGGATTAAAGGCGTGCGCCACCATGTCCAGAGAAATAAAACTTTTTTTAAAATCTTAACTACTGAGGGCTGGGAGATGGCTCAGTGGTTAAGAGTACTGGCCGCTCTTGCAGAGGACCCGGGTTCAGTTCCCAGCACCCACAGGATGGTTAACAACTGTTCCTAAGTCCAGTTCCAGGGGATCAGATGCCGTCTTCTGACCTCCATGGGCATTGTATGGTACGGGTGCATTTACACACGTGCAAACAATACACTCATACACAAAATAAAAATAAATATTTTTTTAAAAAAATCTTAACTACTGGATTCATATAACACTCCAATAGTTGACATTCTATTCAGTCATAATCTACCTGACTCTAGCAATTCAATGACCTGATCACTCTGGAGACAGATACAAGGTCACAGCCATCAATGGCCTAAGTAGATCCGGAAAGATTCCAAAATCACACAGCTCTTCCTATTCAGTTCTCCAGCTGGGCCAAGAAACAGGTCTCACCTAAAGGCCAATGCCATCCAGAAGATGGTCTTATTAGGCGGAAGTTGGAGACAGGAAGACTGGGCAGAGAGCACCCTTTCCCATCCTGCCCAGTTCCATGAGCACAGTCCCCAGGGCAGCTGTCCTAACCACTGGTGTCTCAGCAGCGAGAAGGTAGTTTAATACTAATCAGACTAATGGCTGGGCATGCAGAGGTTGTGAGCACTTTGCTTTCTTTACATGACAGCCAAATCAAGGTTATCTTTATAATAAGGTAATGCCTCCTTGCTACCCCACAACTCACTAAGTGGGTGTGAAAAGCACAGAATTATTGCTCCGGGGAAGGGTGTAAATGGAGAGGCAGCCCAGGCATGCCTGCCTGTTGACATGTCCTCCTTGGTTCTTACAATTAGAAATTCCAAGACCTTAGGAACTATGGTTTTGCAGTTACTTCCCGAATCCCAAATTTTGTCTCCACATTCCTACTGAAAGCCTAGAGAGTGTGTGTGTTCAAGAATGTTGCCCCGGAGCCAGGTGTGATGGCTCAAGCCTACAAACTCAGCACTGGAAAGGCTGAAGCAGGAGGATTGCCAGGAATTTGAGGTCAGCCTGGGCTACAGTATAAGACACTATCTCAATAATAAAAATAGCAGTAATAATAAAAATGTTATAAACACTGCAATAATAGTGACCACAGTTTCAGTGACCTATCATGAGCAGGCAAAATGGCGATGGTGAGTAAACTCACAACACTATATGTAAATAGTAAAGTAGGAAGGGCCCCAGGATGTGGGGGACGTAAAGTCATGCCACAGAGGTAAACAGCTAGAAAGACGGATAGACAGAAAGGGCTGAGCAAGGAAAAGACACAAAGGGCTGCTCTATGCAAAGGGCCTAATTCTATGCAGCTCAGGGCAAAGGCTAAATCAATGAGGAAAGTTTAAAAGGGGTTTCTACTAAGAGCGCTCTAACAAGCAAAAGCTCCCACTCTGACAGCAGTGGGCTCCACACCACAGGAGACTGTGCTCTGATACACAGGAGAGTTAGGTGACCTTGAAGCCTTCTTCCAACTCTAAAATTCTGTCATTCTCTTGAACCTCAAATCTATTAGCAACTTGTAGAATAGAAATATTAATGCTGAACCTCAATAATCTACCATCAACTTAAAAAACAAAGGAAGGAGTTGAGATGGCTCAGTGGGTAAGGTGCCTGCTCTGTAAGGATGAGGACCTGAGCTCAGATCCCAAGCACCCACCATGAGCTCTGGGCTCAGTAAGAGACACTATGTGGGGGAAAGCAACAGAGAAAAGACACTCAGTGTTGATCTCTGTCTTCCATATGCCTGCACATGCATGCCCACATGTACTTGTCCGCACACACACTACACATATACACATGCACACAAAATAATTTTTAAAACAAACAAAAACAAATAACTTGACTGATTAATTTTTGAACTGTGCAGAGCTGTGGTCTCTAGTCAGGATATGGAAATTGCTGTGTTAGCATAAAATATAGAGACCCATCTGTGGTTTGATTATATTTTAGAAGCAAGCTAAGGAATGTTACCCTGTGAACTATACATTCTTACGCTTTGGCTGTAAACTGCAAAAAATAAGTATCTGATGCCTTTTCAGCCTCCCCATGTGACCTACCATTCTCAAACACATCAAAGGCACAGCCACTGGCTTACCCAAGGCAGTGTCTAAGTAACTGAAGGTGGATTTCAATGTCATGCTTATTTCAAGATATTCAACACTCCACCCACCATCTACGAAGCTTTTAAAATGTTGTTCAGTGAGAGAGGTCCAGAAAGCAAAAGTAGAACTTACTTAGCCATATTCTAAAAAACCGAAGCTCTACTTCCAAGCTCTGAATTTTCAGAAAAGCAACTGTTGATCGATTTGAAACTGCTTCTGTCCTCATGGAAGCTGTGATAGTCACGGGGCTTGAATGGTGATTAAAGTCTCAGAACTGACTCTCAGCACCTTCAGAATGCAAACTCCTATTAAACTTAACGAGTACCACTTACTATCTGCCAGCCATTACTGGTACTTTTTCTGTAGGCTCAACTGTTCCTCCCTAAGGAGTCAGTGGGAAAGCTTAGGGAACATGAGTGTGGAATGAGGAGCCAGAAGTAAAAGTAAAGTTGCCTGAGTCCAGAGCCCCAAGCTCTGTCTTCCCTGGCATCCTGCTCAGCATCTCCAACTTAACTATACTACATCCCCACATTCCAATAGCAGCCTGGGGCAGTACCCCATCTTCCAGGGGCCAGCCTAAACTTCTACACCATTTTGCAACGCAAAACAGATGTGGTAGAGGAGGAAGATGCAAACTATGACAATGTGCTTTATCAGTAACTAGTTAAAAAGGGGGGGAAATGCATTAAAAAGAGAGAGTGTTCATCCCTAAACAATAACATCTAAAACTCTGAGTCTCTTCCGCTTTCACTCAGCAGACATTTCTACACACGTGCTCTACCACTTGGCCGCACCCCAGGCAGGCATTTCTAAAAGCATAAAATTCTGAAAAACTCTGCTGGGAAAACTACGCAGTGGGAATCCTGGCTGTTTTGGATATAAACTGGCATCAAAGGTATCTTGAAATATAATACCAAAGTGAAAAAACAGTGGAAGTCCCCAGCAGAATCAGCAGATACCAACCTGTAAGTGATACACACGGAGTCAGAGGTAATTCTTTAATTTACCCTTTAGTCAGACACTCATTATATCACACAAAATTTCAAATTCCAGAATTGTTAGAATTCACACTTGACCTACTTAAACACTCAAAATCTCTTGTGGATTCCCAGAAGAGAAGAGCTAAGGAACAACTCTTCCAGCTACCACCTACCACTTCACTAGTGAATTATGATAGACTGAGTCTTATCATAAAAGTGCAGGGCGGTCAGAGGACACAACTACTTGGGGTTTGGAGGCTGGGGGCAAGGTCTGAGGTTCAGCAATGTCCATTATCAGCACACACACATATCTTGGCATCATGCCCTGCACTGCCAGCCAGAGTGAGGTAAGAGAGGGTTCATTGGGTAGATTTTCCTCATTTTTTCCCAATTCCTGTACTATAGTCTTATTTCCATTCTCATTTTACAAAGACATCACTGGTTATGAGAAAGAAAGAAAAAGGCAGAGAAGGGGAAGGAAAGGGAATGATAAATGAATTCAGGATCTCATGGCATATCCAAGAATGTGAACCTACAAGACCCACAAGTCCCTGCTTAACCAAGAGGCCTGGATGCAGGCCTGAGAGCCAGCCGTCAGCAGCTTCTTGGCAAGAGTTGGAAAGGCAGGACAAACACTTACCTGACTGCTGAAGGTGTCTTTCTTGGCTGAACTCTGGGCCTGAGGGGGGCCCTGGGCAGGCAATAATCTTGAGGGGCTCTTCTTACTCTGAGGTAGCAGTGAGGACAGAAAGCCCACTCGAGGCGACTGGGAGAGCGAGGTGGTCCTCTGGCTGCATACCATGGCTCTAGTCAAAGAGACACACCACAGGGTCAGGGGCTGGAGGGAATGAGGAAGACCCAATAACATACAGCTCCTGGCCAGGGTTAGTGATGGGGGCCTTAGCCAGGTTCTGTGGCCTGGGCCTGAAGGTAGCATGATCCTCAGTACCATTTCCTGAACAAAGAACCAGAAGCTCATGTGGCCCAAAAGTGAAGTCTGTGCCTCTTTTTGGAGAGACCCAAGAAAGCTCAGAGCTGCCTTGAACCACCTGTGTTAATCCAAATAGAAATGTGCTGGGGGGTGATACATGATGGAATTCAAAGACTCAGCACGCAAAAAGGGTCAGTAAGCTCATTATGTTTCGTTGACATGCATGTTGGAATGGTTCAAGTACATGAGGTACATAAAATATGCCACTAAAATGAATTCTGCTTTTTACCTTTTTTTAAAAAATTTTATATATACATATATATATGTATATATATTTTTAGTTTTTAGAAGAAGCATTTCATTACAGCTTTAACATACTCAATAACAGTTTCCAGAGCAAAGATACATCTCTTTCAAAAGTGGCTATAAAATTTTTAGGTTCACTATTGAATTAATACAGTTATACAATACTGAACTCAGTATAAACCCTGTAAGACATAAAAGTGAGTGAGTTTTACCTTCTTAAACCTATCTAATCCAAACTTTCTCGTTTCATCTTTGGCTGGCACCTGATTTCCGGCAGAAGGTATTTCCCAGAGTTCTGCTCCTGGCTAGTGTCTCTACTATGATTATTATCACCTCAGATTGCTTTAACTGGCTTGTTTTTAAGGTCATTTAAAAACGTCTCTTCTACCTCTTGAGCCCCCAGCAACTTCTGAGGAACACCTCCCACCTGTGGTGGCTAGTAGTTCCATCCTACAAAAAAGCTTCTCTGGACTCTACCATCATGGCGTCAGCACAGCTGTGCAGCTCCCCCTCCTCCAGGAAGAAACTTAGAGACAAACTTAATCATACAACTCTGTATCAATGATAGATGGGCCAAAGCGCTCTTTGGCAATTCTCCTTCAACAGAAAAGGGGCCACTGGCAAGATGGTCCAGGTGAAGCTCAGGCCACGGAGAGATCAGAGGACAGACGAGTGGAGAGGGCAACAGCCCGCCTTACCACCCAGAAGCCCTTATGCACACTCACAGCTCAGAGTCCCCAAGGCGGTCCATGCTGGAGACATAAGCAGGCAGCTTGTGTTGGGCCAAGGTCTCTTCTTCTTCGAGCTGCTGTTCTTCCTTCTTTAGCCGGTGGATCTCAGCTTGCAATGCAAAAAGCTATGTGTGGGCAAAGCTCAGTTAGCCAGTGACTTCACATGACCTTCTCTCTGTTTAGGGAGATTCCTAGACACACCTCCCCCAAACCCAACCTTACTGGTTCCCAGTGCCACCACCCTCAGCCTTATGGTGCCTGTGGCATTTCTGCTCATCAATCAGTAGGAACACAAAAGCACAACAGCTGACCCCTAGGGGCAACTGCGTCAAGAAAGCCCAGATATCTTTTCATCACTTGACTAGCTTCCTTTTGACTTGTTTCTTCCTGAATTCACTAGAGGGAAAAAATAACTCCATTCAATACTGCTTTGCTGTTTTGAATCTATAAAACTAGCCTCTGGAACTCTACAGAGAAAGATTGTTTAATGAATTATATCATCTTTTTTTAAAAAATTTATTATTTTTATTTTATGTGTATGTGTATTGCCTGCACATAGGTAAGTGCACGCTATGCAATGCCAGCAGAGGTCAAAAGAGGCTGTCAGATCCCCTGGGACTGGAGTTATGGACAGTTGTTAGCTGCCATGTGGCTGCTGGGATTTGAACCTGGGTCTTCTGCAAGAACAACCAGTGTTCTTAACCACTGAGCCATCTCTCCAGCCCAGAATTATATCATCTTTAACCCGTGTCTGAAGAAAACTAAACGTGCACACAACCCAAAATCCAAGATTTTCTTTTTTGTCTTTTGTTTGTTTGTTTTAAGACAGGGTCTCCCTGTATCCCCAGCTGTCCTGGAACTCACTATGTAGACCAGGCTAGCCTTGAACTCACAGAGATCTATCTGCCTGCCTCTTCCTCCCAAGTCCTGGGATTAAAGGCGTGTGCCACCACACCCGGCGCTGAATCCAAGATTTTTAAACCCCAGAACCTAAATAGCTTATAAGTTTCTTTTTTTTTTTTTTTTTTTTTTTTTTTCTTTTTGGCTCAAGACAGGGAAATGTAAAGGCAAACACAAGTTCCCTGGATCTACTGTTTCACTGAATGTGTATCTGAGTATGAACAATTACATCTGGGTTGTAAACAGTATATATGTGGCTGAAAAGTAAAGACTAGAAAGTAAAATAGATGGGGCTGGAGAGATTGCTCAGCAGTTAAGAGCATACACTGCTCTTGCAGAGTACCCGAGTTTAGTACTCAGCACCCAGCTCACAACTGCCTGTGACTACAGCTCCAGACCCTCTTCTGGTCTCCATAAGCACCTATACCACCATGCACATACACACACATACATGGAACTAAAGATAAAACAAAATTTTTTTATATTTTATTTATTATTTTTATGTGTATGAGTGTATTGCCTGCATGTGAGTGTACCTGTGTCGTGCAAAGCTGCAAAGTCAGAAGAGGGCTTCGGATTCCCCTGGAACGGGAGTTAAGGACGGTTCGTAGCCGCCATGTGGGTGCTGGGAATCGAACCCGGGTCCTCTGCAAGAGCAGTCAGTGCTCTTAACTGCTAAGCCATCTCTCCAGCCCCAAAACAAAATCTTTTTTAAAATAAGAAACATAAATGAAAAGATAAAGTGGTATGGTGCCATTAATACACACAGCCTTTTTCTCCTTACAAGTTTGTTCTTGTTGCCATAGTCCTTATGCCAAATACCTTCTTTAAAACATGAATCTTACCTCTGATTATCAGGACTGGCATAGCCCCAAATCCCCAAGAATGACTTTCTGATGACTCACTTTCATCTGAGAACAGTTCACCTTTTCTATATTTAGCCAGCTCTCCTGCCACCACGCAATTTCACACCCCAAAAGCAGAAGTGCCTCCCAAGGAGCAAGCCTGCTCGGGACAAACCTTCTGGCGCAGAACTTCATTTTCTTCCTGAACCTGGTTGGTCCTCTGGCACTCTGCATCGAAGTTCAGGATCACGGGAACGGGTACACAAAGTTAAAGAATAAATCTGCTTGGAAACATTTCAAAGTCCTTCCCAAGTCCTCAACACAGGAGCCAAATATTCTAATATGAGACACAGGGAACACAGGAGAGAATCAGCCCTGTGGAAACGGAAACAGTCTCTTCTTGTCCTTGGTCCTGTTACTCCAAGTTGGCCTGACTCCTTTGGACTCACAGACACCTGACAATCTGCCTAGCCAGCCCTTGCATAGGACATAAATCCAAACCTAGACATCTCTCCCCAGCATCAGCAAAGACCTAGTATTCAATGGAGCTCACAGTCTAAGCTCTAGTGAAGTCAATACCAACACTCAGCTATAAGCTGACTGTCATGGAAGCAGGACTGGCCATGAGACTTTTCCCCTCCACAGACTGTATCTCTCCCTAGCAAAGGTTAGATGGAGATATTACTCAGCAGGTTGCACATCCACACACTACCCTGTGAACATCCGCATCCTAGCTTAGGATACTGGTATTTCCAGCTGCCTCACAGAGTTCAGTCCAGAGCACAGAATAAATGGTCTTTAAGTCCTAGGGAAGTGAACTGCAGCTCAAATGTGCATGACCTAGTTTGCAGAGCACATCTTGCCCTGAAAAGATAATGAGCAACCGTTCCAACTGCCCTGGAGGGCTCATGCGGTTATGCCAAACTGACCTGCTAAGTCCTCTGGAAAGCCCTCGGGATAAAGAGGCAGGAGGAGGTGAGAAGGGCAGATCCCACAAGGGCCAATTCATACTCATCCACAAAATAAGGAAAAAAAACAGTAAAAGCAGGAGCCTCCACCAGAAAACATACCTCCCAGAGGTCAACACGGCTACAGTGGGTGCCACGCGCAAATTTATCAGTACCTCACCAGGCAGCCCCATTCAAAGGAGGTTTCCTTCTCCCCTAGATTTTCAGCCTAGAAAGCATGAATGAGACATGCCCAGGCCTCAGGATTACACCTGTAGGCTGTGAGTTATATCCATTTACATTTTCTGTCCTGTCCCTTCAAACACCCACATACATATTCCCAAACCTATTCTGTTTTCTGGCAAGCTGAGACATAATGAAGTCACTCTCCCTGAGAGGAATCCAAACATAAACTCAAGCAGGAAGCTCCTGCCCAAGAAGTGCTTCCATCTGCTACCAAATCTCAGCAAAGATGACTGATATCCCCGGGGACACACACTGTACAGCACAGAGAGGTGCTCTCCAGCCTGGCTGGTTTTACCAACAAGTAGCTGCCTCCTAACCCTTGTGCTGACTGACTGAGCCAGGTCCCAGCACCCAGAACCTGCTGACATCCCTGCCACCCATGTCAGCTATTTCTCTGGCAGCACAGCGGCAGAACTAAGATTTATGACTCCCTGGCCTCCTGACAAAAATAACCCAATTTGTCCAGCCCCTCACATGACACATGTCAGTGTTTCCTGCATATTTTGTGGAAGAAATGGCTGCATCATGAGCAGTGGCTACTGATCATCACAGTGTCTGGTACCTTGGGCTGGGGACACAGCCTCCAGCAGAAGAAAGGATATGCATACACTGAAACAGGACACTCAGGAAGTTGTGCAAGGACACAATGAAGGTGTCAGCCCACTGTCGAGAAAAGTAGGTAGCAAAGGTGGGGTTGGTGTCTGGGGATGGTAAGAAGGGCAGGACAAACCAATCCTTCCACTCGGCCTGGTTCTGGAGCTCCGTGGCCTGCTTTGCAAAGAACTCCTGAGCCTTGTCATTTCTGTTTGTCTGCCAAGACACAAAGGAGGGAGCAAGGAGGGGAAGAAACAAGTCCATAGGTCAGGATCTTCATCACTGCACAGCAGACAGCCTTTGGATATGGCCTGTTAGGCAGGTGATAGAAAAGATCTAGAAACTCCACAATATGAAGGAGATCATCACCATTTCCTCATTTCAATGCTGGTTTCAACTTGGGTTGTAGGGCTGGACACATAGCTCAGTTAGAAGAGTGCTTGCCTTGCATGCCCAGAGCCCCAGGATCAATCACCATCAGTGAATAAAACTGGTCATGGCATGATGGCACACACCTCTATCCCCAAACTTGAGAGGGAGAGGAAGGAAAAGCAGAAGTTCAAGGACATCCTCAGTTACATATCAAGTTTGAAACCACCCTGAGATACATGAGACTCAGTTTCAAAAGCTACACTGAGGTTCTAATGACAAATGCCATCCTGAAAACTAATCCCTGCTTGATGTTCAAATAACCTGATTTAGTCCCCCAAATGAGCCAGTCTTTATTATACAGACTTTCTATTCTTTAATACGCTCCCCAGGTTTACATGCTTAAAAAAAAGGGACATAGGAATCGGGATAACAAATCAGATGATCTACAAATGATTGGGGTTGGAGGGAGAGGCAGTCAAAAAATCACCTGGATTGTGTAGACAAGATAAAAGCGGAACAGGCTGGTTTTCAGCTTGTTGATAGTGGGTCTATATATATCCTCCAAGCGGCTGAAGAGCCGGCGTTCCAGGTAGCTCCAGTAATCCCGAAGGGCAGCCAAGTCATACACCTGCATTAACTGTTGCAACTGGTCCACAATCTTGTCCACCTGGTGAGAGACAGCAGCATTGGAGGTGGCCAAAGACAGAAGGAAATTCCCACCTCACTCCAGCGTCCTCTTACTGTGGCTGAGGTTAACACACACACACACACACACACACACACACACACACAGTATCAGTCTATAAATTTTTCGAAATAACATAAAATTTGTGAAATAATGTTCTGATGATAGATACATTATGGCTTGATCCTTTAGCAAGCTTGGAAATTCCAGTCAGCAAGAGATTTGGCTCCAGGTGTTGGATCTCTCTGACCAACTTGGCACTGTCACTTCAACTGTGGTCCTGATTGCCTCACATTGTAAAAATAATAAGAACAAGAGATCATGGGACAATCATCAGGGTCCTCCTCCCTACTCCCCAATTCCAGGATTCCAAGAATCACCAGGAGCACTGACTCCTGCAAGTCATCAGATTCCCACCAGCCCTGGTGGCTATTCAGCAGGTAAACCAAAGACAATTATACCAAAGCAGGAAATCTGAAAAAATGTTTTGGATACCAATATGGATCCTATATGTATTTTTTTTTTTTTTTGGTGTTTTTGAGACAGGGTCTCCCTGTAGCCCCAGCTGGCCTGGAACTCACTCTGTAGACCAGGCTGGCCTCGAACTCACAGAGATCCACCTGCCTCTGCCTCCCGAGTTCTGGGATCAAAGGCGAGGGACACCACGCCCGGCTTCCAATGCCCCTATTTTGAAATAGCTCAGGACACTACTGCCTGGAGAGGTGAAATGTTTTGCCTTGCCACCAAGTACCCTGTAACCTCATCAAGACAAAGCACGTTGCTCTAACTCCTTTGGGTATTGCTGCTGCTAGTTCATTACGTCCCTCAGTTCATCTGACCAAGACCAGTTTAACTCAGCACGTCCATTCCTACAAACCACATGCACAGAAATTCCAAGCACCTCATCAGAAACAGTATCGTAGAAGTCAGTCTTTTAAACCGTGCAGGGGGGAGCTTCCTGAACTTCAGAAGCGGAGCTGCTGATGAGTCCCTGAAAGGCCATTTTATACCAACTCCACAGACAGCCAATATTTGAATATTCTCCTGTCAGAACTCAGCCATCGACCCAACCATTGCTCCTAAAACCTCGTGGCCACAACCGGCCAACCACTAGCCAGAACAAGCTAGGAGACTAGGATGGAGAGCGAAGCCGTGGACCAGGAATCTGGAACCCCGATGCTCCTGACTCGCTGAGCAACTTCAGGCCAGTCAGGACTGTCTCCCGGCTTCAGTTCCTCATCTGTCACGCAGTGATGTCTATGGTCCCCCACCGCGCGGTGACAGCGCCGCCCTTGCCCTGGAGAGCAGAGCCGGGGGCAAGAGGCCCGCTCCCGGGCTCCCTCGAGCCACCTCTGCCGCGCCGCGCCCGCCGGCCCCTCACCCGGAACCCCTTCTCCTTGTCCGCCTTGATCTCGGCGTCCAGCTGCCGCAGTGTGTGTGTGAAGCCGCGGAAGAGCAGGTACTCCCGGACCAGTTCATCTGTGCGCTCCACCGCCTCCGCCATCGCTGCGCGCGCCGGGCTTGCGGACCGCAACTGCTGGAAGCGGGGGGGCGGGGCCTAGCGAGACGGGGCGGAGCCTGGCGCGCGCGCCCCCTACGTCACGCCGCAGCCGGCCTACCGGCACGCACGCCCCGCTCCTCTGCTGGCAGTCCTTCTCGGGTCTGTCTGGATCCGCTCCTCACCTCCGCTGAAGCCCCGCCCCTTGCCCGTCTGGCTCTACCCCACTCCCTTGCTGGAGCCCCGACCCCCGCCTGTCTCCCCTCTGCTGCCACCACCTCCGTCGAAGCCCCGCCCTCTCTCCTCAGGACCCGACCCTCCTCTCTCCCGCCTAGATTCGCCCGGTCCTTCGCCAGAGCCCCGCCCCTCGCCCTTCTGGATCCGCCCCTCTCCTCCGCCGGAGCCCCGCCCCTTTCCCCTTTGGACCCGCCACTTCGACCCTCCCATCCGGGTGCCTGCCTGGAAGCAAGCTCTGCTGGGTTTTCTGGCCTGGCTCTGCCATCCGAGTTGGTGACAGGGCTGCTCCCCTTCAGTTCAAGTCAAGTAGGGCTGGACCTTGCGAGCATCCCAGATAGTCATGGGACGGGCAGAGGGTGAGATGCCCTGCTTATTTGCATGGCAGTGCAGAATCCTTTGCCCTCTACCATCCACTTACAAATGAAGGAAACTGGAGCCCTGAAGCAAAGTGGCCAGTGTGAAGTCAGCGTACCCAAAACCCTGTTTGCTTGGTTTTTGAGTTTGTTTCTTTTTTTTGGCTGTTGGGGATTGAACTCAGGAATATAGTAGACAAGCATCCTACCACCCTACCACTGAGCCACAGCCTTTTGTTATTTTGTTTCGCTGGTTTTTGAGACAGTCTCACCAAATTGCCAGGCAGGCTCTGAACTTAGAATTACAGGCCTGTACTACCAAGCCTGTCCAGTCCTGCTTCCCTGAAGAACTGCTAACTGTGGCAACCAAGATGCACTGCTTAGAGGAAAAAGTGGTTTGAAAATAGTGTGTACACTATGGTCGCAGTTTCTTGTTTGAAAAAAGTATTTGTATTTTTGTGTACATTTTTAACTGAAAAATTGGAGAGATGGTTCAGTGGTTAGGAGCACTAACTGCTCTTCCAGAGGACTGGGGTTTGGCTCCCAGCCCCAACATGGCAGCCAACAACCATCAGTAACTCCAGTTCTAGAGGACCTAAAACCCTCTTCTGGCCTCTACAGGCATTGCATGACACAGGTGTACTTCCATACATTGCAGGCAAAACATTTAAGCATATAAAATAAAAGTAAAATTTTAAAACTCAGAAAAAATGATATACCAACTTCTTGCATTTGTTTTCTCTGAGATGTGAGAGACTATAAGGGACTTTTGGTTCCTTTTTAAAACAGTTTTAGAAAATTTTTGCTGATGTACATATTTTGCGGACCATCTTTGAAGTAGTGATGATAATGACTACTTTGCAGAGTCATAATGAAAGCTGTTAATAATGTAGATGAAAACACTCAGCTCAGAGAATGAGAATGGTACAATGATATAAACATTTCTTCCTTTCTTTCTCTTACGGTTTTGACACCAGAGTTTTTAAGGTATAAGCCTAGGCCCTGTAACCCTAACAAGCTAGGTTCAACCACGCCCTCAGTAGTCCTATTAAAGAGAAGCGTAAGTGGAAAGCAGGGAAAGGCGATTTATTCAAGGTAATGGAGGGTTAGCATGATCAAAATGCATTGTGTATATGATGAAAATGTCACCCATTATTACATATAAGTAATGCATATTAATAAACAAAATCTTTAGATGAGAAATATTACTGTCACATAGATAGGGATTGTTTTGGTAGCATGGGCACAAATTGCATACCTTTCCTCCTACATCAGAGGCCACCATAATGAGAAACTACTCCTAGAGAGACAACTGAATGCCAAGGCTACTGGACTTAGTTAAGTACTGGGGAAATCAGATGGTCCCTATGGAATATATTCAGCTTCTGATGTGTAAATCTAATGAATGTAACCTTTAACAGTAGCATCTTCATTTCTTATAACAGCTGTATCTTTTTTCATTTTCTTTCTTGAGATGGGTCTCACTGTGTAGTCCTGGCTTTTCTAGAACTCCTAATATAGACCAGGCTTGAATTTTCAGTGATCCTCCTGTCTCTGCCTCCGAAGTGCTCAGATTACAGATATGAACCATTACATCTGCCTATAACAACCATTTCTTAGTGCTGACTCACTGAATGGTCTTGTCACCTAATCCCCCCAAGCTTTTACACACAAACTGCTACTAAACTAAAACTTTCTTTTTTATTTCTGTATATTTCTATTTATTTATTTATTTATTTATTTATTTGCAGTGATGCTGGGCATTGAACCTAAGGCCTCATGCATGCTAGGCAAGTGCTCTACCACTGAACCATAGTCTAGCCCTAAACTAAAAATTCCTAATCCTATATACTTCTACACTTAAGTAAAAAACACCAGGACACATTAAAAGGTACTGTATGAAATCCACAAAAAATCAATAAAAATAGACATTGAAAAATAAACAAACAAACAAAACTCCAGTACAGGACTTTCCACTTGAACTCTGATGACCACGTTGTATCATTTCTCTGGCTCTACCTGTCCTCATCTTCAGTGTTAAGATCTTGGACCAGAAGGACTCAGAGCTCCTTGCAGTTCTCAGTCCCCAGACCTCATGCTGGAACCTGTTGGGAGCCTTGGTCTCTCTACTACTAAACACAGACAGTGAGCCCCTTCCTCTCAGATTGTGGCTGTGATCAAATCTTCTTGAGAAGCAGGTCAGATTAGAGTAAAATCCTGCTGCCCTTCTAATGACTCTGCCCTCCACTCTGAGGGCAGAGAATCCCCCTCTGCACAGGGCAGCAAGCTGCCAATAAGATGTTAGACTGGTCACAGTAGGAACTGCGCCTATGAGTTTATGAGCCTATAAAATCTATTACTTTCACTAAGGGAAAATTTGAGTCTCATAAGTTAATAAGTAATAAGGTCTTTGCCAACATCGACTATAGGAAAGTATGAGGGAATTGCAATTCTGTTGCTACACTTCTTAAAAACTTACCTGCAGCCTCTACAATCCAGTGACTACCCTCTGCAATACCTGGGCAGAATCTCTGCCCCTTCCCTCTCCACTCTTTTTCCAAGCTATGAATCCTCCCACCTCCAAAACACCATCATCACTCTCCTCGGGAGCTGCCCTTTACACCCCTTCCTGCTGTCTGTCAAGAGTCACTCTGGGTCTCCTGGGGAAATTTTCTGCCTCCTTGTATCAGGATCTGGGACAGTGACCCCTATCCAGTGGAGTCTGCGATCCTGTGCCAATGGCATGTGTTAGATTTAGGAGGGCAGAAAAAGGAAGAAGTTTAAAGTTGAGAAATAAGAGTCAGAGCCAGACCTGATACAGGCAAGGAATGCGCTCCCTGGATTCAGGAAGCCCAGCAAAGGGCTGATAAAAGCTGTTCCTCCAGGATGATTATCTGCGTGCTGAACGGGGAACAGTCTGGTCTTAAATAGGAACTCTGCTGCACACAGCTGCAAGAGTTAACTCTGTGCCAGGGTCTGGTGTCCTTGAGGGTCTCTTTTCTCAGACAGGCAGGTGAGTTATCTGTAGCACTAAAGGAGACAGGTGGGCTCCATAGTCTCTCTCAGTCCAGGGAGTGACCAGTTGATAAGGCTTGAGCAAGGCCAGGCTTGAACAAGTCCAGGATGCTAATTTAGGGCCAATTAGGGATTTATGGCTTTCCCTAATGAGGCTTGTGGCTCTTCTGCAATTCACATACTCTATCAACATGTAAACTAGTTGTCCATCCTTTAAATACCCAACATCACCCGCAGATCTCTCTGCGCCCTCAAGACTAACCTCTGCAGTTATCATGTTGCTGAAAGCAAAGAAGTGCTGGGTGTGGGAGCACATGCCTGTAGCCTCAGCCATCTGGAAGCTGAGGAAAGAGGTTTGAGACTATCCTGGGCTACACAGTGAGATCATGTCAAAGGAAAAAAATGGGAGAGGAGGAGAGGGAAGGAGAGGGAAGGGGAGGGGAAGGAAAAGAAGGAAAGAGGAGAGGAGGGAAACTTACTTGTAAGCCTCAACTGCATTTTGACTCCTAATTAATTCCAGCATAAAATCCATCCTCTCCCTGCTTACTGGGATTACCTTAATACAAAAAAATATGACTAGGACTCCTACATTAAATTCCACCTACCCAGGGCTCAGGGACCATTGTAAAAGATGGGGCAGAAAGATTGTAAGAGTCAGGGAGGACCATATGGGTTTCCCCCTTTTTACCTGCTTTCCCATATAGCCAGAAATGCCTCCCTAAGACTAGCCAATTCAACAAAGAACCCAAAGTCCAATTCATCTGTTCTCTGTACTGGATCAAGTACTTAGTCATCACTTCAGCTAAGTTGACTGAGTATAAGCATTGATGCTGAGTTGCAATGTCAGGCTGTGACCTTTTGAGAGCTCTAAGATGGGAGTCTGAAGAAGTTAAGAAGTCTCACCCTAAGTCATGATAGAGTCTGAGGCCCCTGCAGTTTATCACATAAAATGGACAGAAACTAACGAAAGAGATCCAGTCCAAAAGGACCAGAAAGTCCTAATGTGGCAGGAGCCCCCTAGAATCAAGAAAAAACAAAAAACAAAAAACGCAGCATGGTAAATAGTCTGTGCCTGAGTGCACGTGCACAGCTCTGCTTCTCATGACCTTGTAGCACACGGCACCCAATCAAGACATGTGTGTTAGCATGTATGGGAGACAAAGAAACTGGACTAAAATGGGATTTTAAAGATTAAGCTTTTCCTTGTTCATGGCTTTAGAGAAACATCTCTCTCAGGGACTGTAATGGCACAATAAACAGCTTCCGTCTTGGCCTTTGGGTCCCATTTTCTGTTCAGGTCCCTCCTACCACACTCCAACCAAAACGGCAGGGCGAAAGGACACAGAACAGAGGTGGTCATCTTGAATTAGTCTAATGCGGGGATCTTGAAAGGCTTTCCTGATGGGATTGGTGCTGAACTGGATCTGGGAGGATGGATTGCGCTCACATTGGGGAAGGGAGCACAATATTTCAAGACCGAGTCTATGATGCTGGCAGGGATGAAGGAGTAGTTCAGGGCAATGTTATGCTGTATAGAGACTGAGGAGGGTCAATGTCTAAGGGGTCTGGTTGGGTTCATTTTCTCATCCAATTAAAAAAAGTAGAGGGCAGGAAAATTCTCAGATACTACAGAAA